ACAACGTGGAGCGAAACGTGCAACTGTACTCACCTACACCATCGTGTGGTTCGTAGGTGGTGGAAGGGTCGCTGGACCCAGGTGGACCTGTGGGCGAAATGTTGTAGTGTCAGTTACTCCTTGTTAACAATGGGTACAAGTTCCTGAATAAACAAGAGATGGTGTAACAGAGACTGTAGAAAGGAACTTGGTAAGTGGAACTACCTTTCGCCCTGTGTGGAGCTTTATGGAGGGGCTTGTTTCGCCCTGTGTGGAGCTTTATGGAGGGGCTTGTTTCGCCCTGTGTGGAGCTTTATGGAGGGGCTTGTTTCGCCCTGTGTGGAGCTTTATCATATCTTGACTTGATAAAGCTCTCCACCGAGTGAAACTTGACTTGATAAAGCTCTACATTGAGCGAAACATGACTTGATAAAGCTCTACACTGAGCGAAACATGACTTGATGAAGCTTTACACTGAGTGAAACATGACTTGATAAAGCTTTACACAGAGTGAAACATGACTTGATAAAGCTTTACACTGAGTGAAACATAACTTGATAAAGCTTTACACTGAGTGAAACATAACTTATAAAGCTTTACACTGACGTGAATGAAACATGACTTGATAAAGCTTTAACAACATGAGTGAAACATGAACTATTGATAAAGCTTACACAGAGTGAAACATGACTTGATAAAGCTTTACACAGAGTGAAACATGACTTGATAAAGCTCTACACAGAGTGAAACATGACTTGATAAAGCTCTACACAGAGTGAAACATGACTTGATAAAGCTCTACACAGAGTGAAACATAATATGAAAGAGTTCTATGTATGAAGAAATTTATTTTATTAATTTACGAGACGGTCCCTAGAGCTTTTGCTCAACACTTAGAGCGTTCAGCAAGGTAAACAGATACAGGTTCACTCTATAACTCTGGCAATGGAGCTTTAGAGACTAATACTGAGCTGAGGCTCTATGCTAGCTCTCTCTCTCTCTCTCTCTCACACACACACACACACACACACACACACATAGCTTTAAGCAGAGGTATGATAAAGCTCACGGTTCAGGGAGAGTGACCTAGTAGTGACAAGTGAAGATGCGGGGCCAGGAGCTAGGACTCGACCCCTGCAACCTCAACTAGGTGAGTACCACACACCACACACACAATGCACACACACACACACACCACACACACACACACACACACACACACACACACAACACACACACACACACACACACACACACACACCACACACACACACACACACACACACACATACAAACCAGGGCTAGGGAGATTGCCACGACAATAATACGTCAGCATATCAGCAGAAATACACAAAATATATATACATATATTGGTACATACCTGACACATACTATTAAACACAACAAAAACAAGACAAAGAGATAAAAACAAGACAAACACGAGACAAAGAAACATAAATAAAAACACAACAAAGAAACAAAAAAACACAAGACAAAGACAACATAAACAAAAACAAGACAAAGAAACGCAACAAAAACAGCACAAAAAAACACAACAAAACAAGACAAAGAACACAACAAAACAAGACAAAGAAACACACACACAACAAGACAAAGAAACACAACAACAAACAAGCACAAAGAACAACACAACAAAACAAGACAAAGACACACACAAACACAACAAAGAAACACAACAAAACAACACAAAGACACACAACAAAACAAAGACAAAAAAACACAACAAAACCAAGACAAAAAAACACAACAAACACAAACAAAAAACACAACAAAACAAACAAAGAAACACAAACAAAACCAGACAAAGAAACACAACAACAAAACAAGACAAAAAACCACAACAAAACAAGACAAAGACACCAACAAAACAAGACAAAGAGACACAAACAAAACAAGAAAAGAAACACAACAAAACAAGACAAAGAAACAAACAAAACAAGAACAAAGAAAACAACAACAAAACAAGACAAAGAAACACAACAAAACAAGACAAAGAAACACCAAAAAAAACAAGACAAAGAAACACAACTAAAACAAGACAAAAGAAACACAAACAAAACAAGACAAAGAAACACAACAAAACAAAACAAAAAAACACAACAAAAACAAGACAAAGAAACAGCAACAACAAGACAAAGAAACAACAAAACAAGACAAAGAAACAAACAAAACAAGACAAAGAAACAAACAAAACCAAGACAAAGAAATAACAAAACAAGACAAAGAACCAACAAAACAAGACAAAGAAAAACAAAAAACAAGACAAAGAAACAACAACAAAACAAGACAAAGAAACACAAACAAAACAAGACAAAGAAACAAAAACAAGACAAAGAAACAACAAAACAAGACAAAGAAACACAAAACAAAAACAAAACAAAAGAAACCAACTAAACAAGACAAAGAAACACAAGCAAAAACAAGACAAAGAAACAACTAAACAAGACAAAGAAACACAAACAAAAACGGACAAAGAAACAACAAAACAAGACAAAGAAACACAAATAAAAACAAGACAAAGAAACACAACAAAAAAAGACAAAGAAACAACAAAAAAAGACAAAGAAAACAGAAACAAAAACAAGACAAAGAAACAAAAACAAAACAAGACAAAGAAACAAAAGCAAGACAAAGAAACAAAAACAAAACAAAGAAACAAAAGCAAGACAGAAAAAAAACAAGACAAAGAAACAAAAACAAGACAAAGAAACCAAAACAAAACAAGACAAAGAAACAAAAACAAGACAAAGAAACAAAAACAAAACAAGACAAAGAAACAAAAACAAGACAAAGAAACAAAAACAAAAACAAAGAAAACAAAAGCAAGACAGAAAAAACAACAAGACAAAGAAACAAAAAACAAGACAGAAAAAACCAAAACAAAACAAGACATAGAAACAAAAACAAGACAAAGAAACAAAAACAAAACAAGACAAAGAAACAAAAGCAAGACAAAGAAACAAAAACAAAACAAGACAAAGAAACAAAAACAGTTCTAACCAAATTTTATGAATTCAAAAAAAAATTCCTCTCAAAAATTCTCATACAAAATGCATTATTTAAAGTAAAAAAAAAAAACTTTAAATATCCTTAAAGTCTTAAAATTTCTTAAAAAATCTTAAAAAGTCGAAAAAAGTAATTATCAAGACTTGAAAAATCTTATTATTATAAAAGGGTCTTAAAATGTCTTCAAAAATCTCAATAAAACTTAAAAATCGTAAAAGATTATATATAATTTTTTTTTTACAATTTTTTTTAAGTTTCCCCTTTCAAATATTTTTTTAATTTTTTTAATTTTTTTTTAGATTTTAAGGGTAATAAATTTAATATATTTTTAAATATTCAAATATTCTTTACTTATGAGAGTCATCAACTAGGATATTACTTGCTAAAATAACAAAATAATTTTTCTTAAGTCTCTCCTGTCAATTAAAAAATGTATTTTCCTTTTTTTTTCAGAGTTTAGAGATGCCTTTTTTTATTTAAAAAAAATATTGCAGTATTCCTTGCTGTTCCTTATTAGTCAGAATATTTACTAACAACAAAATAATTTTTTTTGGTCTCCCCTCTCATTTAAAAATATTTTTTTCCCGTTTTCTACAGCATTTATGGATAACTATTTTATTAAATTTTTAAATATTCCAATATTCTTTAATTTTAAAACTTATTAGCCAGGATATTACCTGCTAAGATAACCAGATGATTTTTCTTAAGTCCTCCTGTCATTTTAAAACTATATTTTTCTTGTTTTCTAAAGGCTTTATGGATAACTATTTTATTTATTTTTTAAATATTCCACTATTACTTAATTTTGAGATGTATCATCGTAGTGTCAGGTAGGAGAGTACTTAATGTAAATTTTCTTTAGTCTCTCTTCTTGTTCAGACTTTAGATCTCATTTTTTCAGACTTTAGGTATAACTAATATATTAATTTCTAAAAGGTTCGATCTTTAGGTAAGTCTCTCCCATTTGTAAAATCCTCAGATACTGTGTAAAATTTACAAGTATTGCGTAAAATCGTCAGGTATTGTGTAAGATCAATAGAAATTGTGTAAAATCGACAGGAATTGTGTAAAATCGACAGGAGGTACACTAGGGTCGACATTTCACTTGAAACTCACCTCTGCCGAAGCATTCTGGTGACAAGGAGAAGTCGTCGAACCCCATGTCACCTCTGAACCTTGAACCTCTCACGTTCGATACCAGAATTTTATACCTGAACCAGTAAAAAGGACAAAATTATACCATACAAGAGGATGTCACACACACACACACACACAACAACACACACACACACACACACACACAACACACACACACACATATATATATAATATATATATATATTATATATATATATATATATATATATATATATATATATATATATATATATATATATATATATATATATATATATATTTGTAAATAATTTCACCTATAAAAACAGAATTTCAAGAGACTAATTGATCTGTATATTTCGACTTCCTTCTGGGATCCTCTTCAGCAGATGTATATGTGTATATATCGAAGAAATCTCAATAAAACGCGTGACTACAAATATATGATGATATCACAGTGAAAATGGCTAAATGAAATCTGAGCGCTTTCATGTGCTTACACATCTTCACAGGAAATAGGAAGAAATGGCAAGAGAAGCCTATTTGAAATGTTAAACCCTGAAGTGACACATTTTAAAATGGGCTTCTCTTGCCTCTTCTTCCTATTTCCCCTGAAGATGTGTGTAAACACATGAAAGTGCTCAATTTTTATTTCATATTTTCACTGTGATATTTTTTTTTACCTGTGTATACATGTAATAATTTCACAGTAAACAGGTGATATCACAATATACAAAATAACCACTGTGGAAAAAAATAGTGACAAATCACTATTTTTCACAGTGGTTATTCTGCATATATATAAAATGTGGAATATATGTAGGTGAGAAAGAGGGCAAGGAGATACCTGTAGCGTATGTCAGTGGGCAAGGTGTGTG